CCCTACTAGTTAAATCCTAACATAAATCTGAAAAGACTTGTTAAAATGAAGGTTTGATCAGAGTGAGGTTACAGTAATGCCAGGATGTATACCAGTTCCTGTGTCTGAGCGGCCTGTGTGGACCGTTTGTCAGGATATGGAGATCGACAGGAAGGAGGTGAGGTTGCTGCTGAGGAAACTCCATAAACAGGAACCCAGAGCAGATCATTTGTGAGACCCAGTTCACTTTAACCACTGGCTTCTGTTGGCTTTCAAATCTATCACAGTTTTAACGCATGTGTGTCATATTTTTGTTCCTCTTTCACTGGGGTTCAATGTTCCTCCATGTGCAAAAAGCCCTTAAGAGGAACCTGAAAATAGGGAAGATGCTAAAGCACAGTGGGAGCACTGGAATTGGTCTTTTATGCGGTATAATGCTATTGTTAATTAAGTATTACATTTTATGTAATATACTTTACATTGCCCTAAAAAATGTCTTGAATCATCTCTTTTTCTCAAGAAAACAAGACAATGTTCATTGAGATAAAGAGTCTAAATCAGTAGATCCTTTGTAGAGTATTGAATTTTTGCTGTATTTTTACTCATGTTCAGACCTGCTCTTCATCAATCGTTGAGAAGGTTCAAAAAGGAGGGATTGATTAAAAGGTGGATCCAACTGTACTGGGATTATTTTTTGTACGGACATCTTACCTTCACAAGTTGCTTTAACTATAATGCTTCACTAGATATATACAGACAAATGCAAAAACAGTCTAATTGGGTATAATTTAAAATGCAATTGACAATGAAATGAAAACAAAATAGAGAAAAAAGGGAGAAAGGGGAGGTGCAAATCTTAATAGGGAGAGAATGTATTTAAATGAAAGCGGAGGAAGGTAATACAAGATAACTTCCTCAAAGTCTGCTTCCACACCAGCAGACAGAGAGGGAAAAAAACAAAAAAGAATCCAAGGTACAAACCATAAATGTATATATGAACATGTCATTAAAATAAAAGTAATATAAAATTGTTTTAATGCAAAATATATTTAGTGGCAGTGACAGCTAACTATATGGTTTATCTATTTACTTAACATCCATATCAAAACAGCTGTGGGTGTATGTGCGAATGCACTTGTAAGGTTTCACCAAAAAATGCTCATAAGTGGGTGTGAGGAATCACAGACCTGCCCCCCAAGGGGCATGGGGAGACATGAGGTAGACCAGAGCCCCAGACCTTTGAAAGGGCCCACAGAGCATGGGAGCCCAAGGAGGATCCAACACAGGGATGACTGCATCCCCTTTTGTGGAAGAGAGACCCAGGGAATCATGGTGAAAAGTGTACTTTAAAAAGTATTTTTACTGTACTTATTTTTTTTCCCTTTCCTTGAGTACAATTCTTGTCAAGTATCACTAATACTTTTTTCTGGTTACTCTGTTTGCTGTGAGTAACTTCAGCTTTTCAGAGAGCGGCTTAAAATACAATAAAATCAGATTGGTGGAATTTTTCTTCTCTTTTTATGATTTTTTTATAATGAAAAAGATGAATTTGAAAAATGATTTCCTCTACAGGGATTATTTATATCTGTTATGTATTTCATTCGTTAATATAAGAAAATCTGCTCATAAAGTGTGTCTGACTGCATCATTCCCAAACATTTAATTGGACGTTATGATCCAATAATTACGCTGTACCAGAGTAGCCTTTTTAACAAATACTACCTTAACTCTTACTTGAGTAATTTCTTGGATGACTAAGTTTTACTTGCTAAAAAAAAAAAGGTTAAGGTGGTGCTAATTCAAGCCTCTTTCTCACTGAAAATTCTAGGTTAACACGTGTTAAAAACATTAAACCTTTATGTGGGCGGGTTAGAACCAGCTTTTTTTGCCAGTGAGAAGGGAGACAAATGATGATTTTAACGGTTCAGCACGCGTTTGTAAAGCCGCTTTCCCACTACTTTACTCCATGTTACCTAGTGTTATTGGTTTAATTGCTGTTTTGTTGTAATTTCTAGATTTATGTCCTCATGTTTGGTTTCCCCAGTGGTCTCCATAGTTCTGGTTTGTTTTACATTATTAGTTGTTTTTTTGGATTCCTGCCTTTGTTAAACTGTTTCCTTTGATTTAAACTACAAGAAATTGCCTCAGCCTCTCTGCCTCTGCGTATGGGTCCTCAACCTCAACCAAACCCTTGACAGTTTTTCAAACATGGGTCGACCCGCTCCCTTCCAATTAGCAAAAAAAGCTGGCTGCGTGACCTCTGTCCCCCCGCGGTGGCATGTCTGATGACAGCATCATGCTGGGTTAACATTGATGATGTCACCATTGCTACAGAAATCTGGAGAGAAAGCAATGGAGAACAATATATAAGTAAGCCAGGTCAGTTTCCTTGCATATTGTTACATATAGAGCTAGATCAGACGTGGCTGGCACGGTGTGTTGACATCCATACATTGCATTAAATGGGCTCTAGGGTGACCAAACGTCCTCTTTTGCCTGGACATGTCTACTTTTTACATTCTGTCTGGGGCGTCCGGAGGGGCATTATAAATTCATGAAAAGTTCTGATTTTCACTGTTTTTCATTGGACCATAATCATATAATTATACAAACTTTATTGTCGTTTTGTTTATATATGTGTATTAAATCGACTGGCTCTTTGCACAGAAAACTACAGTACTACAGAGGGAGCAGAGCAACCAGCATTGGACACAAAATGGCAAAACAAAATTGCAGCTTCACAGATGAACTGCTGCGACAAGTGAGAGGCTGAGTGCACCGTGTGCAAAGCTGCCCCACATGTCTCAGTGTCTAATAACAGTGCTGGAGATTTTAAACCTCACATGGACTCTAAAAAACATTAAAAAGCTGTGAGAGGTGAGAGTTACTCTGCAAAGTTGACTGAGTACTTTATTAGATCTGGGAAAACAGATGATGCTCTAGAGAGGTACTTTGTTGAAGATACAGGTAAAAGCCAGTAAATTAGAATATTTTGAAAAACTTGATTTATTTCAGTAATTGCATTCAAAAGGTGTAACTTGTACATTATATTTATTCATTGCACACAGACTGATGCATTCAAATGTTTATTTCATTTAATTTTGATGATTTGAAGTGGCAACAAATGAAAATCCAAAATTCTGTGTGTCACAAAATTAGAATATTACTTAAGGCTAATACAAAAAAGGGATTTTTAGAAATGTTGACCA